TCTTCTATTACAGATTGATAAATAGTGCTCCTATTTCGCAATAAGAAATAATGATTTATCAAAAAGTAATAAAGAACTATCACCTAGAGGGTATCCTACGACACACTTGGCTCAAGCTGTAAGAGAAAATTCCAATTAGTAAAGAAATTAATTTGAAAAATTACCTTGACGTTTTGATAGCTATTTTCTGCTACCGTTATCAAAAGAACCTAAAAAAGAGTATGTTAATAAATTGTGTAGCAATAGTAGGATAATACAGGATATGAAAATTCCCTCTGATAATTCGTCTGTGCAAATTGTCAGTTATGTATTATTATTTTGCACAGACGAATTATCAGAGCGAATTTTCATATACTGTATTATCCTACTATTGTTACACAATTTATTAACATACTCTTTTTTAGGTTCATTTGATAACGATAGCAGAAAATAGCTATCGAAACGTCAAGGTAATTTTTCAAATTAATTTCTTTACTAATTGGAATTTTCTCTTACAGCTTGAGCCAAGTGTGTCGTAGGATACCCTCTAGGTGATAGTTCTTTATTACTTTTTGATAAATCATTATTTCTTATTGCGAAATAGGAGCACTATTTATCAATCTGTAATAGAAGAATACGAAATTGGATACAGGTCTTCTTATCTCCTTTTCTATAAATGACAGAACAGAATCAAACTAATGAGGGATAAAGTGAAAGAATTCTCATTATCTTTTAAATGGCCTTAATGACTATAAGAAGTCGTTTGCTTCTGGGACGACTTTGGAACGAACAGTGTCTTATTTCTGTGCTGAGGAGTTCGTTCCCAAACTGTTCTTCATCTTCCTCTCCTACCAAAATTAAAGTTTAAATGTCGACGTCGATTTTTTCCAAGCTTTTAAGTAAATCACTCTAGAGTAGAGGTGTGCGAAACGGTTATATTTCTTCTAACTGTTTTTTTCTTCCGGTTCAACGTTGAAGTTTCACTGTGGTGTTAGAGATTCCAAAAGTAACATGTTACTTATTAAATTTTTCATTACAAATTCGCAATGATGCTGATGGTAGAAATAGTGGTGATAAATAATGATTTAGTTTATTTAAAAAAAATAATTCGTAGCATTGGAAAACTAAAAATAATATATTCTAAAAACAAAAACCAAACATTGGTCATGAGTAACTACTTAAAGGAAAAAGACTGAGACTAAAATTGAATGGTTTAAGTAAAATATACGCTTTGCATGCGAAAATGTTTGAAAAGCTAACTTTTATTTAAAAATTAATATACATTTAAGCATATTTTTTTGCGTATGCTTTTTACTAAGTTTAGTTTTTCGCTCGTTTATGATAGCACCCGCTTTGGAAAATAATCTCTCGCTATTGCGCTGTCTCTCGAAAATGTTGATGACCTTTTATTTTTTTTTAGATTTATTTTAAAGGCCATTTACTAATAATATTTTTAATGTCATCAAATTTCAGAATTTTCCAGTTTTAGCCAAGTTATTCTTTCTTGTAAATGCTCAATTTTCTAAAGTTTCACTTAAAAATGCTGACGATCTTAAGGTATTTTCCGAGAAAAATTATGAAATAAATTTCGAATCCTTCGTCGCTTTGTAAAAGTTTTGAAATCCTTTTCCAGCTTCGAATTTCGAATAAAAATCAAACTATTTTCTATCAAAAAACGAACAGAATAAGCGAAAGAGTTTCTTCACTTTTAGGTCAATATTTCTAAACAACACGGCTCTAAACAGAAAAACCGCGTTTTAGTTCAGTGTTACCCAGGCCTAACATTAAATAATACACATTAACAGTAATAGTTATAGGATAAAAATGCTGAAATATATCATCACCGAAACTAACCAATATTTTGCTGATCTGGCCGATTATCGTTCCTGGAGAACAGTAATTCTTATAGAAGAAAGGTGATAAGCACAATCATCAACGCAACGCGCAACAAAACATATTTTCCGTTAACTATTTTCAACTATCGCTCCATTGGTTAAACCTGAGGTCAGGCATTGAAGGTGATTTACTTCGATCGATTGATTTTGACGATTTGATAAGTGACTTTGCCAGAGAAAAATCAAAACACTTTTATTGTATAATAATTTGTAAATCACTATTAAGTTTAAGAATTATTAAGTTTTTTTACGTTCATATCGCTTTTAATTAACTAATTTTGATCAGAACGCCAATGTAAAAATTAACTTGGAATTGCGTACATATGTTAGCAATTTTCGCATCAGGTTTGAATTAAGAATATACAGCAGATATCAGAGCTTGCGCATTTTTTTAATTAATTAATTAATATAAATACCAATAACCAATGCGATAAAAACCACAATAATCCTTTTTTACTCAAAATAATCGAAAACTGCCACTTTTCGCAGAGAAACCATGATCATAAAAAACACAGCAAATCCGTCTTTCCACTTTCACTCCATTGCACATCAGTTTAGGAAAATTACTGTTAGGCACAAAGTAACTAACATCCTATTGGTACTACTAAAAGCGTTCGCGGAACCACCGATTCATGGATAGGTTCTGAACCGAGCCTGCGCCGTAATTCGGTTCCGAACCAATCCTGAATGGCTACCGCGAATAACGCTAAAACAAATTTTAAAACTAGGTGGGTGTTTTCTTAGATTTTAGTTTATAGTAAATAATACGTATAATCTCCAGAAATACTACAAACCGACTTTACGTTATAACTAACCTCAAACTATACGTTCAAATATAACATTAAATATTCATAACGTTCCCCAATTTACTCTACAATATCAATAATGCTCTCAAACACAAAATACCCGTTTGGCAATTATGGACTTTGAAGTTATACGCGGTTCTCACGGTGTCCCATCGGTTCTGCGCTGGTGCAAACTATATAATATGTATAACAGTTGTATAGTTTATTGGGGTACAGAAACGAGTCATATCTTCGGTTTAATAAACAAGTTTATGCCACATCTATAAGACATATGGTTGGAAACATTTTTACAAGCAACTTTATTAAAAATAAAACATCCTACAACTAAATAGTAAAATCATAGTTGTTTAACATCTGTTGATGACTGCTAAAGTTAGAAAACCTAAAATTGGTTTTCAATTTAGCTTCACAACTTTAATTCATTGCCTAATTAACGTTCTCGTTTATCTGCCAAAGGTAGTGCTCACAATTGATGGAGCATACAAAAGGGGCAAAATAGTATTTTGTATGGAAAAAAGTGAAGTTACTGATTTCATTTTTAACAGACAATGTAATTCATATGAATATGCTCGTACAGTGTGAAACACAAGTATGAAATAATCAGAACATCTCGCAGTCCGCTCACCCGATTTTGTATAAAATTTTGTGCACTTAGGTAACAACTTACGCAAGATCTGACTGTGAACGATTGTAAAGTGTCTCGTTTTTGTGAAATTTCCAGGATTTTATTTTTTCTTAATGGAATTGGAATGGAATTTGAAAATCGCATAAAATTTCAGATTTAATCCGATCTTCAAATTTCGCTTTAAAGAATTTTAAAATCACACAAAATGTATAAAGGTTTCATTGTGAAAAAAATATTCTTGTCAATTTCAGAAAAAAAAACGATACACTCGAAAACCACGCCATTCTAGAATCGAACATAATTTTTACTGTAAGAGTGTTTATACTACGCACAAAATTGTATCGAATAGAAATGTTAAGTTCGACCGTGTAGGATGAATGCAGCTGAATAAATGTAAATTCAGATATAGAAATCAGTGAATAAGCAAAGTCTACAACCTTATTTTTAATTTAACAGTTTAAATTCGTTTTTTAGTAAATTTAGTATTTTTGTATTATTTTGAACGTGTTAAAAGAGGATATTAGCCAAACAGAAAAAACCACATTTGCTATAATGCCCCTATTTTGAGCCTCCTGATGCTCTATCACTTTAGGACACTCGGAGTTTTCCAAAATATAACATTTATTACATGGTATCAGTGACTAACCATGAAATCAACTCCCGTTACATAGAAAAAAAGATTAATTATCTTCTTCATCTAAACTTGGTAACCGCTATAATATTTAATCAAACTAATAAAACACCTAACCTATTGAATATAAGCAATTAATTAAACGTATATTTCAGCAGTGAAGTAAAACCGGGTAATAGTTTAATATTATTTTGATAGTATCGACAATACAGCGTAAATAGTGAACTGAAAAATATACACAAGAGGCACTCTTCTTAATATGTTTTCTTCTATCCATTTTTCTTTAAAACTTCTGCACCTTATCGGCAGTTACCAATGGATTCTGTCGTTCTAAAAGTTTTCTACCTTCTGTTTTGTAATTGTATGTGCAACTGTGAACCTAAAACCGTACGCATTATTTACATACATTACACCACACTGCACGCAAACTTACTTCAGAATATCGATGCTGAGAACAGAATATTTTTCCACATCTACAGTCATAAATATTTGTGATATTAAGTCGCTTATTACAATGATTACATCTTGATTTCTTTTTCACCACAGCCGGTAATTTTACAACTGTTTCTAATTCCTCAGCTCTAAAACACAAAATCGTTGAATAAATCCTTGAAAATTACTTCTATCTATGTTCTGTTCTAGAAATAATACGTTCTTATCTTTCTACTTTATCAATTTAATATCTGGCAATACTTTTCGCGAATGAATACTTTCCAATCGATTTCAAGAGGCTTTGAAATTAAATAAAGCGGAAGAGAAAAAATTATACTTTTATTAAACTCACAAAAAAGTCAGATATTTTGTAATTAAATGTAAATGGTAATTTACTTACTTTTCTATAACATCAGTGGAACAGCCTAAATTATAATATCCAATTAAGCCATCAGCATTAATTTCTTTTCTAGATTCGAATAAAGTTTCATCATTTTTTATCCTCTGAATGCTGGAACAATCGTTTTCAGAATTCTGTCTACTTTTCTTATCTTCTTGCTCCTTATTCTCTAAATTTTCCTTTCTGTAAATTCAAGACAATTACAAATTATTTATGGGCAATTGCTTTAATTAACAATAAAGGAGGTCCGTTTCATAATACAAATAATTTAATCTTATCTACCGCTTTGATCTGAACGAAAGGCGGGTTGAATCTAGCGTTCAGTGATCATGCGGTATAACAAGCGAACATGATAATCCGGCTGTTACATGTTACATTGTGAGTGAGTTATTGACGGGGATGAAAAATTGAAACTTTATAAAAACGTTGCGCGTAAAAGGCATTGGAAAAAGCGTGATCCTTCAACCATCCCAAAAGCCGTTTTTCATCCGAAGAACGTAATGCTCTGTGCCTGATGGGATTGGAAAGGGATCCTCTATTATGAGCTTTTACTAGAGAACGAGGCAATAAATTCAGAAAATTATTGCTCCCCATTACATTAATTGAAGACAGCAATCGAACAAAAACATCCAGAATTAGCGAGTCGGGGGGAGGCATATTACATCAGGACAATGCGAGGCCTCATGTGTCTTTGACAACTCGACAAAAGTTGTTGGAGCTCGGTTGGGATGTTTTACTCGATCCACCATACTCACCAGCCCCCCAGATTTCCACCTATTCCAATCATTGCAAAATTCCTTTAATGGAAAAAATTTCAACTCTGGTCGAGATATAAAATCACTTGTTCACCGAAAAACTTTAGGAACAGAGAATCGCCTGTGTAATTTAATAAATGTGTACCCAAATTTAAATGAGTTGCGTTGCAATTTTCCTTCAAAATCGGCACGAACTTTCCGGACAACCCGATACATCATAGTCATATTTGATCAAACGGGGACACAGTATGA